GTCAAGACCATTTATTTTGAGTTCAAGATTCAAGTGCAAGAAAGAGAACATGAAGGGCCTTTGAGGTTCTGATAGTTCCTCTAGGTAAAAGTTTCATAGTTGTATTGTTGTATTCCTGTTTTTGTTTTTGCTTTTTGTCAGTTGTGGGGCTTGGAATTCGGGCCTGTGCCCTGTCCTTGAGCTCTTTTGCTCAATGAACTTGGGGCCTGTGCCCTACCCTTGAGCTCTTTTGCTCAAGGCTAGTGCTCTACCACTTTGAGTTACAGCTCCACTTACCATTTTCTGGTGATTGGATAGGAGTCTCATAGCAGGAGAAATTAAGGAAGGGGTTAACACTGTTAAAAAATAAATGTACTCATTGCCTTATATATGTAACTGTAACCGCACTATACATCACCTTTACAATAAAAAAAAAGTCTCACTGACTTTCCTGCCTACACTGGCTTTCCACCTCAGTCCTCAGATCTTAGCCTCCTGAGTAGCTAGGATTACTGTATGAGACACTAACGTCAAGCATAGTTGTATTCGTATTGTGAAATTTCAGGCACAGGTATCCTCATGGTTTATGTAGTTTTGTGACATGTTTTATATTTCTTTGAAATTTATAAAAAGTAACAATGTTTTTTAAAATAAGAAAGGTTTTATGGGGCAAATTATATGGTGGCATAAAATTAAACCAAGGAATGTTTGAAATACAAAATATAGCTTCAAAAATAATAGCCTATTTGGAGTAGGAACTCTTCTGGGACCATTGGCATAATAAATTTGAGTTCTCCTTTAAAATATATAATAGCCTATAAACTGCTATTGGAATGCTTATTGGATAATAATAAAACATAAAAAGGAAAAGAAGTTACTAAATCAATTAGTAATTCCAATGGCACAAAGTCAAGATTCACATTTAGTTTAAGATAGTTTTAAAGAATATTTGGAGTGGAAATAGTTTCTAAAACAACAACTATCTTCATATAAAATAATCAAAGCATTCAACTTGATAGAATTTCAGCATTTCATAGCCAAGTCCTAAAACCAGATTATTTTTCTCTCTATGTTTTACTGTCTGTAAAATTTAGAAGGCCAGATAGTATTAGAGACAGATGACTAATGTAGCAATAACATTTATTTGATTTTTATTGCTAACATTTAAAACAGTACAAAATTTCAATGTTTCTACCATGTTTTATCCAGGCAAATTTGACCGAATACCTGTATACATATATATATATATATATATATATATATATATATATATTCATATATATACATATAATATGTTCAAGACCAAAATCTTCACTGTAGAGGGAACTTTTTTTAACTTTTAAAAAATAATTCCTTTCAAATTTTATTTTTATTTTCATTTTAGGAAAGAATCTTCAACTATTTTTAAAATATATAGGTAACATTTTATCTTGAAATAATTTTTACCCTAAGAGAATATATAGTGAAGGACAATAGAATCACTTTCCAAACATGATTCCATCAATTATTTTTTAAAAATATATTCACTAGAGCTAGGGGTGTGTCTACCATGGTAGAGCCCTTGTAAGTGTCAGGCCCTAAGGTCAAACCTCAGTATTCTAAAAAAATCGTACTGCTATAATAATAATAAATAATATAGAGTATACATAATATCTACTATTCAGTAAATTTAGTACAAGTATTTAAAGGTGAAAAGTTCTATCCAATGGCCCAAATTAAATACATGACAGTGAAATTTCTATAGTTTCAACTAAGACTCAATGATCTAGCTAGTCTTCTAAAGGGGACTGGGGACTGGGGACAATTATATTTTGAAAAATGAATTTATTTTTTCCAGTGATTTATCCCTTCCATAAGCCTTTTTTTGTTATCTAAGAAAAAAAGATAGCCTAGTTTTCTCTCTTTCAAAGTATACAAGTTTCTAAACTTGTGATTACAAACACAATATTCTCAAGCCCTACTGTTAAGTACACCAATAACAGTAGTATAACCAATGGGAAAAGTGAGTCCTCACATGAAAAATAGAAAAATAAGTTTTACTTAGATAACATTTTGAAAGTAAGGCCAAATTAAAAAATGTATTGCCTTATCATTTTTATTAGCATCTGATCCAATTCCTATTGATATTATTTATAATTAACCAAAATAACAATTAGCTCCACAACAAAGAACATAAGGTGACTTGAATGGGAAATCTGTTACATCTCATTGGAAATACGAAGTGGCTATGTTTAGCATTAACCAATGCCAACACTGCTCACTCTGTTTGGCAGCACATATTCTAAAATTGGACCTAGCCTGAGATGAACTGCTGCTATATTCACTGAGTCATTGCCTGTGGAATTTCCATTTCAGCTTTCTGTGCTGATTTCCCCACAAACAAGACATGTGACAATCTTCCTTCTTCCACATGCAGCATAATGGAGCTTCACATTGAAATTATATCCGCTCATTGTTTGTGTAAACAGGAAAAGGAAATAGATCCTGATACAGATAATCACTTCTTGCCTTTATTCCAAAGTAAGAATGCCTGAAAGGTGACATCTTTTAGTTTTATACTACTATTTATATGATTGTTTGGATCTTGGAAATCTACTGTTTTCAATCACTAAAAAGAGTTTCATTTTGTATTTTCTTTCCCTTTACAAAATGTGTTTTGCTATTAAGAATATAGCCAGAATCTGAAATGGTGAAATCTTAAGATTTTGTACATTAATCTCCAGTTCTCAGTTCCAAATATCACATGAAGTTTAGATATACTTCATCTTGTATTCTTACATAAATGATTTAATTTCTAATGAAAACATTGGGTTTTGTGTTTCAGAAAAATAAAATTTGCTTTTGCATCTGAGAAAAAGTAAACTAGATTTAGAAAAAGGCAGGCTTAATATTATTTATTCATGCTTTGAGTTTCCTACTTGAAAACAACATATAAATATATCATATGATTAAAATCACTTCCACATGCAACATGTAATATTTGAATCTAAAATAAGTTAAAGCAGAATTTACAGCTTATTTCCCAAATTATTTTTGCTATAATTAAAATTAACACTCACAATTCTGTATAAACTATAATTTAGGACAGTTTGTCCTAATTTTTATATCTTGGCTTAAAAGCCTTTTCTGGGAATGTTAAACTCATAACATTTTGAAATGGCATTTCATGATCTGTGCATTGGATTTTTTCTCATTGTAATTTTTAGTTCATACTACGAGAATGACAATTGCTATTCTAATTAGATCTGTTTAACTTTAACATATATTTAGAACTTACTATAAATTATTTTCCATTGCTTGTTGATTTTTGCCTAGATCATAATGTATGTAAAGGCAGAAATCATCACATATGTGCTCAAAATTTTTGAGTGAATTAATGCTATATACTTTGTGTTATGACTTATAGTGCCTCACACAGAAAGGGATCCCAAGAACTGCCAGCTTTTTAATAAGCTGACAATGACAGAGGTACTTCTAAAAGATCCAAACTATTGGCACTCCTAAGAATCATTGTCCACTTTAAAATATTAAATTAAAGTATTTTCTGTAGCCTGGGGTTGGTGGATCATGCCTATAATCCTAGCTACTAAAGAGGCTGGGATCTGAGGATCACAGTACAAAACCAGCCCAGGCAGGAAGACTCTTATCTCCAATTAACCACAAAAAAGCCAGAAGTATATTTGTGACTCTAGTGATAGTTTGCTAGCCTTGAGCAAAAAAGCTCAAGGTCAGTGCCCAGGCGCTCAAGTGGAGCCCCAGGACCAACACTAAAAACAAAAAGAAAAAAATCTGTAGGCAGCATCATATGTCCATGAATGTTAGCAAAAAACAGAATGAGAGGAATTGTTGTCTGTCTACAGTGCAGGACAGAAAATTCATTATTAAACAAAATGTAATCACTAAGTGACTATTCTGCTAATTTTCTGGTTTTGGGTGTCTGTTCTCTTTGAGATATCACCATCAGTAGCTATTATAACAATTAAGGGAAGGAACTATGCTTGTTTATGTAGAAAACAAAGGATATCATACCTGTAACTGAGTTCTCATGCCATCATTTACCTCCAATGTCAGCTAGTAACAGACAACAATAGGTAAGAAGCCCTATATTAATCTTTATATATATTCATATTTTATTCCCCTTCTCAAATATCTCCATTGATGATTAACTGTGTCTAAAATGAGGTATTATCTACTATGATCTATCTTCATAGTTCTATAGTCTAACCCTAACACTATGCTTTGCATTTGAGTTAGATTTTTTTCAAGCTGTTATATAGTCAATTCTACTTTTAAATTTGTCTATATATCTAAAACTCTTGCCCCTTCCCTCCTCCAAAACATTCATTAGAGGTCTGAAAATGTTTGATGTTTGATGGCATTGTTTAGCTGTGAAGTGCTAATACATGAATGTTGGTGCCTTCTCTAAAATAAACTGTTCAGATTTTCACTTTCTATATCCCTAGTGCTCTCTACCTTGTATTCTACACATAATTAGTAAATTAACTTGAAATATACAATAGGGTCCCTAGCTTAAAAGATGTTACAAAATATCTGAAAATTTATTTTTAGATAGTGCTTTACTTTTTATACAATGTTTCATGTTACACAACTTTCTCTAACCCACAGAGTGCACATTTTGTGTTTTTTCCTATTTGTATTATTTTGTGGGTTTTTAAAAATAAGGTCTTGACAATAATCCAGTTTAGCCTCAAACTGCCTCCCCCTCCAGTGCCTCCAGAGTGGTAGAATTATGGGCATGCACAACCACAGCAATCCACAAAATTTGCTTTAAGAAAAACTAATAAGCAAAGTTATTTTTCAAAAATAATATATACATAAAATTTGGTTGTTTTGCATTTCAATTATCACACATTTTGAATGAGCTACATCAAAATTAGATCTTTAGTACCATAAAAATCACCAAGTGGATCTGTTTAATATTTATAATTACTGAACAATTATGAATATTCCCATGTGGGGTGTTAATTATTATTTTATTTGAAATCAAGGAAAAGCCTAACTAAACTACAACACATTTTATTATTGTGTTTTCAATTGGAAAGTAATAAATCAAAACTGAAGAGGCACAAAAGGCAAATGAGATCAAACTAAATCAGGTCCCATGGTTTGAAAAATCACAAATTTATGACAGAACCAATAGAAAGAGAAATCTTAAAGACAATTACAAGATTTTTATCTTTAAGGAAAATAAAATGTATCCTCTGAAAATTACACAAACTATAAGCAAAAGTAAAGTTTATGACTGTTTTATGGGAGGAAAGTATTCTGAAAGATTAAAAACAGACTGACAGCATTTTTAAATATCTTTATGGTTACATATCTTAATAGATGCCTATGACCCGTGTGCATAGACTTTAGGCTTACACATTCTTTTCTATAAGAAAAGCAGAATAATCTAAGAGAATACAATTTGTTTTACTAATGAAAATGCATTTCTAAAACAGTCTTAAAATCCTTCCAAAGTGCTGAACAAGAGCTCTTCAATGCCAGGACACAATAAAATTTTATTTCTTTAAATTACAAATTTATGTAATGTTTTTACTCTTTCACAGAATAAGTATACCCAATTTAGGAATTATAAAGATAGTACAGATGCAATCAAAAGTGGTAAATTATAAAGTGCACTGTCACAGTACCATGATAATTGTTGCTCTCAAGTATTCACGTGTAAACAGTACTCCATTTGCGTGTTTCAAAACAACTAATAGTACTTGATAGCAGAACTACATGGTAAAAAGTTTAGAAAAGTAGTACTTCTTAAAACATTATATAAAATATCACAAATAACATCAGATTCATATATAAACATCATCTGAATCTAGAAAATAAATTCTCAGTGCACACAGAGACTTGCAGTAAATACTGTGGCTGAAAATGGACCATGAGCAAAACAACTGACCAACATTGAATACAAAAGAGACCTAATTTAAAAATAAATAACGTAGATGCATGGGAAGGATTGGTATACATATACAAGGCAATATACATATACAAGGCAAGGTAGAAAGGAAGCAGAACAGGCAGAAGAACATTTATTGATTAAGGTGGAATAGAGCAATGACTATAAACAAACTGAACATGAAATCCACAAGGGTAGAATGGGAGAGGTAGAAATATATCCTCCTTATTTTGGTATATATATATATATATATATATATTACATATATAATACATATATACACACATGCACATACCACATACACATACAACACACATGTATGTACTAAAATCCATTTGTCATATCAATTTTAAAATCAATAATAGTATTGACTCTGCTATAACTACCTTAAAAGACTGTGATTATCAGATATGCTAAGTATGAAAGTTCTACATAATCTGGAAAATTCATTATTCATGTAAGGGAAGATACAATCTAGGCAAAATGCAAACAAAGTCTCTCATTTCACAGGAGGCCAGCAGTGATCTCTCTAGGGCAGAAGGGAGAAAATTTCCCACTGGTCAATTCCCAGATTTTCTTGGAACAGTAGACTATACACACAGGGCCAGAGATGACTTTGAGTGTGAACACAAGCAAATCACATGGAAATGTGGGCAATGTTACATGAAAAAAAAAAACAAGGAATAATCCCCTTCCTTTCTTCTTAGCACTTATAAAACTTTACTGTCTACAAAATTATGACTTCATATAATGTGAATTTCTCCCCTTAGAGGAAGGAATTAAAAGCACAAGAAAAGTAACATTGGTCACAAAAGCACACCAAAACAGAGTTTCCCTTCAATACCAATTATAAGGAAAGAAAAGCAAGTCTACCAATATGCATTGGAAAACTTTACATTTGTAAAATTGTTTTTAAAACTAGGGAACTAAGGCTTACTACATAATTACTTTAAGGCCACATATTTAAAAACACAGAGGCAATACTTCATTAGCTGGGCATTTTTCACAACAATACAGGACCCCCCCCCCCCCCAATTCGGAAAAGAGATATCCTCATAAAAGATTAAAAAGAAACATTTTTGAGCTTATTGGTACTCCACTCATGGATATAACAGTTGGCACTATAAAAATTTCATCAAATTATTTAAAGGTATAATTCCTCTAACTCTGCTCATTCAATATTCAAAGTAATGAAAACACTTTTCATTACATTAGAAGCATAGGCAATGATTACTCATTATAAAATACAATAAATTTATACACAATGATCATAAAAGCAGTAAAATAAAGAGGTGAAAAGACCAAAGAGCAACCCAATCAAACCACCTCCTCTTATAAATAAGGACATTAAGGCTCAGAGAAGTCAAGTGACTCACTCAGGGTCACAGAACTTGTCAGTTCCACTCAAGATCAGAATGAAAATCTCCACACTTGCAGTCCAGGGAGGGAGGGGCTGTCTCTCAAAGCAGTGAGAAACGATCCCACGGCCGGAAGCATTCAGTCCAGAGGCCCCTCAAATTCGAGCGTAATAAAAGCAAGCCCGGTGGCATGGCGTGGCGGAGAAGGAACAGAGTCGGTTCATACCAAAAAGGAGCTGCCCGTCGCTGTGATAAGATCTGTTTCTTTGTGACAGCCATGGTTTCCTGTTGGGTTGGAGAAGCCAAACTGGCTGTCTTCCTCCTGTGCAAAGAAGTCCGAGTCAGGATGGACATGCCAGTCGGCTTTGGCTGGAGTCAGGAGTTCGGAGACGCTGTTTTCACAGAGGGTGCTGGAAGGAGTGAGAGCTTCCGTGTCCACGGTCAACTTGCTGCTGGGCGTCAGAGCCTGGGGCTCTGCGCTTGCGTTTTTCATGGCCAGACAGCCCAGGGAGCCCAAGGGCCCCACGCTGCCACTGGAGACATCATCCAGATCCAGGGGGCTCTGCTGAAAGCCAGAGGCCGTGGTTCCGAAGAAGAGCGAGGTGTCCAGACTCTGGGGCAGGTCGCTGGCGGGCCTCAGGGCGCGGGCATCCACAGCGGGCCCCAGGGCATCCGGACTGCTGGCGGGGAGGCTCCCCGCCAGAGTGGAGCTCACGGAAGCCACATCGATGGTCAGGATTCCCGAATTGACCAAGGCCGTGTCCAGCACAGCGGCAGAGCCAGCGCCAGGCACGTCGGAGAAGAGAGACACTATCTCGGGGCCACTGAGATCACTGTGGCCCTGGCTGGTCAGTTCGCTGCTGGGCGTGAGGGAATTGGCCGCCTCCAGCTGCGCCAAGAGATCCTGGCCCAGGTTGTGCCTCTTGGCCATGTGGGTCTTCATGCTGTGCTTGGAGGTGAAGAGTTTGTTACAGGTGGACACCGGGCAGCGGCTCTTCCAAGTGTCCACATCCTGCAGGTGCTTCTTGGAGTGGATGTAGAGGCTGCTCCGGGCAGAGAACCTAGCACAGCAGCCTTCCACGGGGCACACGAAGGGCTTCGTGCCCAGGTGGGTGATGCTGTGGCCTTTGAGGTGCTCGGCCCTGGTAAAGGACTTGCCGCAGCCCTCCACGGGGCAGGTGAACCTGCGGTCGTCCTCGTGCTTCCTCTTGTGCCGCAGGAGCTTGGACATGCTGGTGAAGTTCCAGCCGCAGCCGTCGAAGTCGCAGAGGAAGGGCCTCTCACCCGTGTGGCTGCGCAGGTGGATCTTGAGGCGGCAAGCCTTGTCATACTGCTTGCTGCAGCCCGGGAAGGAGCAGGCGAAGAGTTCCTGTTCCCTGAAATGGGCGCGGTTGTGGGAGAACAGGGCGCTGACGGTAATGAAGGTCTTCTTGCAGCCCGAGAAGGCACACTGGTAGGGCCTCTCGGGCTCGAAGTGGCTGCGCTGGTGGGTGCTGAGCTTGGCCTGCGTGGGGAAGCTCTCCTCGCACACCTCGCACTTGAACGAGTTCTCCTGCTCGTGGCCCTTCATGTGTGCCTTGAGGTTGTACACGGTGGTGAAGCTCTTGCCACAGCCCTCGGCGGGGCAGCCGAAGGGCCGCAGCTTGTCGTGTGACTGCAGGTGCCTCTTGAGCTTGTAGGACGTGGTGAAGGTCCAGCCGCAGCCGCCCAGGGGGCATTTGAAGGGCCGCTGGCCCTGGCTGCTGCTGTGCGTCAGCAGGTGCACCTTCAGCTGGTGCTTCTTGGCGAACGTCTGCCCGCACTGCGCCTCGGGGCACAGGTACAGCACCACGCCCGGGTGGCCGGGCACCAGCGGTCCGCGGGGGCTCTGGGCGGCCGCCGCCGGGCCCTCGGCCTCCTCCTCAGGCGCCGGCGCGGGCGCGGGCTCGGCCGGCTCCGCCAGCAGGAGGTCGGGCGGCAACTCGGGGCAGTCTCCCAGCTGCGCGGCGGCAGCTTGCGGGAAGCCGGCCGGCGGCGGGGCGGCCGGACCCCCGGGCTGCGGCTGCGGGAAAGGCGCGACCCCGGGCTCCCAGGCGGGCAGCGGGGGCGTGGTCAGGGTCAGGACTCCATTCTCGAAGCGCAGCAGCAGGTCCTGGTTGTGGATGGTGATGGTGCCCGCGAAGGCCGCCGCGGGGCCAGGCGCGGGGCTCAGGCCCGGCACGGGACCCGACACCGGCACCGACACGGGCACGGGCACCGGCACCGGCACCGGCGCCGGCACGGGCACCGACACGGGCGCCGAGGCCGCCGCCACTGCCGCCAGCCGGCGGGGGACCAGCGCGGGGCGGCTGGCGGGCTGCGCGCCGCTCCCGCCCCGCTCGGGCCCCAGGCCCGCCTCGGCCTCCTCCCTCCGCACCGGCCCTCCGGCCTGCTCCGCGCCCGCGCTTTCCACGTCGCCACCCACCGGGTCGAGCAGCAACAGGAAGAAGTCGTCGCCGCCGCCGCCGCCGCCGCCGCCGCCGCCGCCGCCGCCGCCGCCACCGCCGCCGCCGCCGCCGCCGCCGCCGATCGCAAGATCCGGCCTGGGCGCCAGCGGGCTCGGGCTTGGGCTCGGGCCGGGGCCCCGCGAGGCCCTATGGGCCTCGTCGCTCCGCGGCCCGGGCGCGCCATCTTGGGCCCCCCGGAGCAGGAGGAGGCGGCGCGCCGGGGCCTGACAAGCCGGCGAGTCGGGGCCTCGGTGGACCCCGCCGCTGCCGCCCGCGGGGCCGCCGCCGCCGCCGCCGCCGCCGCCGCCGCCCTGCGCCGTCCGGCGAGCCAGCAGCAGCCTCGGGATTTCCATCTCTGTGTCGCTGAGGCTCTGCTGGAACCAGAGCCGAGGCGGAGGCGCGACCCCGCCCCCTGCCGCGGGCCCAAACATGTTCCTCAAAGGAAAAAAAAATGTGCAATGCGCAGAAACTGGCCCTATCAGATATTAAAACGTGTTTAACGCCATAGTGATTTAAATATTCGGGTACTGGGTCTCTGGAACTGCATGGAGAGCCCGGGGGCACAGCCCCCAGGACACAAATAAGGACCCCTGTTGCTATTAGGAAGTCGCCAAGGGCATCAGACCCAATGGGGGCAAATGACAGCTCCTTGGCTCTTGGAAATGCAGCACCTAGGCTATCTGGCACCCGGGATGACTCAAGTCCCTACCCCACTGCCTACAGAGGAAATTAACACTTTCCTGCCCGCCTTGCTGGTGCCCCCAGCCTGTTGCCTGGTGCTGCTGCTTCTCTGTTGAACACGGCTCAGCTCTGGCTGCCTGGCTGCCTGGCTGCGAGGAAATGTCTGCACCCAGAATGGTCTTGAGCAAGCTCTCAGAGCAAAATGCCCACCTGCATACGATTTCGTCCTCCTGGTCTAGACATCAGAGGAAGGGATGGGGCCCAATCACGTGAGCACCTGTCAGCCTGGAAGTGCAAAGCCTGGAGGGTGAAAGCTATTCATTTTGGAATCTGGAACAGCCAACCCGAGCCTGGATTCTCCTACAGACTCAACTTCTCAGCCTGAGGGCACACTTTGGCCGTCCACCATCATCGCTTACGCCATGACAAGTTTCCTGTTCAATAGCACATGAGGTTCAGGCCCAGTGTCACAGAGCAAGCAGGAATTCCTTCCGTTGCTTCTCCACTCAGGGAGGTCTCTAGACTGGCACGAGCTGCACTTCCAAGAGTCTACTTTAAGGCCTAAATCGCTGCAGTTGGCTCCCTGGAGTAAAACGCAGCCTGACAACCACCGGCTAGCTGTTCTCCAGTTAAGTCTTGCTGTCGTGCATGCAGCCCGTGATCATGCCTGGTGGGCAAATGAATGACGATGCCCTCCAACCTGTTTGTCATCAGTGAGCTGACCAGTGACCTAAATATAGGGTGAAGGGTCTGGTGAGTGAAAACTCTACGGGATGACTGGGTCGTGGAAGTCTCGTCACTGGAATAACCCACCAGTCTCCCCTCCACCTCCACCTCCATCCCACCTTAACATTTGATACTTGGAGCATAGTAGATACTTGGAGGCCTCTTGGCCGGAAAAATCAAGTTTTCTTCGTCCACAAGAATTCAAACCTCAGCAAAATTTCTATTCCGTTCTCTCTCTTGATTCAGTCTTGGCAGGAAGCAGGGTTCAGGTCTGAGGTACAAAGGGGAGCCTCCAACACCAACGAAACCAGGACCAAGCTGTTGGCCTTGGTCTATGAGTTGAAATAAAATGTTGCCAGCCTTCCAGAATAGAGCCATTCTGTTCCTCCCAATCACAACCCTCATGCCCTCTTGTGGATGTGCCATTATCTGGATTTGGTGATATCTGAAATGGTGCTCTGCTTTCTAGCATCTCCTTGCTTGTACACCTCCCTGAATAGCACACCTTTATAGACTTAGTAAACACTATCATACCCAAATGCTTCCTTTATGACTAGCTCCTTTCACTCTGTATTATATTTGAGAATTACCTGTTGCTCACTGTAGCAGTGGGTAAATTCTTTGTCTATGCCACTATCGAGTGGTATCCCAGCCGCATATGACTATAGGTATAGACTTATAGGATAATGACATTCCTGTGCCATCCCACTGTACACTAACTTGATAATGCAAACTAAGATGGTTTCTGGCTTTGGAGCATTATCAGGAACAATCGTGTACCTTGTCCACGGAATGGATGTAAAAACCTCTATAGATTATACATCCGAGAATGAAATCATGGTCCATACGGTATAGATATTTTCAAAATGATGTCAGTGTAGGTGTGTGTGTGAGAGAGAGAAAGAGAGAGACAGAGAGACAGAGATAGAGAGGCAGAGACAGAGGCAGAGAGACAAAGACAGAGACAGTTAGACAGACAGACAGACAGAGATAGGGAGCAAAAAGCAAGGGAGGTAGAAACAGCAAGGACAGGGAAAAGCAGGGGCAGAGAGTCAGGATGTCACTATGTTGCTCAGACTAGCCCAACTTGCTTTCTTCAGTAGTTGTGCCAATTTTCGTCCCCACAGCAGCACAGACAAATCCTGCTTCCTCACATATTCACCTATAGGAAGCATTTCTCTGAATTTATTGATTTCTTTTTAAATCGAGGGATGGCCAGCATCTAAACTGCCTTTAAGTTTTTGCTTTTCACACCTGTAGAGTTTCTCTTCCATAGAAAGCATGGTCAAGTTTAAGTCTTCTAATATATTTCTTGTTCCATTTTCCATCATTGCTTTCCAGCTTAATTGGGTCATTACATATTTTATCTAACAACCATAATAGTGACCACATTCTTCCCTTGCTCTGTTATATGAATTTTTATTTTGTGCCCTATTTATGAATGTTCTCATGATTTAGTCACACATAGCATCATATTGCTTTTCTTTTAACGAAATCTGTTTTAACAGTATTTTCTGTGAAATCGAAATCTGTTTTAACAATATTTTCTGTGAAATCGTGGGGCAAAGAAATATTCTTTGCACTGTCATAGAAAGAAAAGAAAAAGTTCCTGGGGCAGGAAACAGGACCTTGCACTTGTAATGCAGGTGGTAGACCACATGAGGGCGTGCTCTCCCAGCCCAAGCATACCTTTTATTATTTTTGTATGTTTGTGTCTCACCATCATCGGTTTTCTCTTTGTTTTGTTAGTGTTATTGTTTGTTCCTTTGGTGCCTGAGCTTCAACTCAGGGCCTTAGTGCTGTCCTTTCTCTGTTTTCACTCAAGCTTTTTTTTTTTTTTTTTTTTTTCATTTCTGGAAATTGAAGGCAAGGGAATTGACTTATGTTATTGCTTTAATCTACCAAGGTCCAAACTTGGTCTTTTTTAGTACTGGTCCTAGGATTTAACCACAGGGCCCAGGCACCATCATTCTTTAGCCTTAACATCTAGAGCTTAACATCCAGACACTTTAGTGAAAACCTTGCTCTCACTTGAGCCACACTTCCACTTCTGGCTTTTTGGTGGTCAATTGGAAGAAAGTGTCTCACAGACTTCCCTGTAAAGGCTGGCTTCCTACTGCATTTCTCACATCTCAGCCTCCTCAATAGCTAGAATAATAGGACTGAGCCATTGGTGATCAACTTAAAGGTAGAAACTCTTTTATTCTATCTTATTTTGTTTTGATAGTGCAGGAGGTTCCAACTCAGCCCTACACTTGCCTAGACAGGCACTGTACCACTTGAGCCTGCTGCCAGACTCTGCCCTGCTTTAGATATTTTAGGAACAAGGTTTGTGCTTGCATCAGAAGTAGCTGGGACAGGCTGCCTCCTATGGAGTTTCCTGAGCAGCAAGGATGACAGGCCGGTATCCTCATGCTCAGCTATTATGAAGAGGGTATCTCATCTTCTTTTTGTCCAGTCTGGCTTTGAACTTGGAACTGTGAATCCCAATTCTGACTGGTGACTAGCTGGGATGATAGGTGTGAACCAAAGTGTAGCTAAGTGTCTTTGCTTGATTCAAATCAGAGGCCTGCAAATATCATGCAACATGTTATGTACATATTCCTGTCATCTGCAACTAATCCCAAACCTTTGTTTTCCTTTCCTATCATTTCATTACTTTCCTAGCCTTACTGGATATGTAAGAAAATTCTGGGAGGACATTTCTGAAGATTGAGGACAGTGCCAAGAGAGGATAAAGTTAGAATAGAAGCCTTTACGCCAAACTGCGTTCCTCACTTCTTTGGTGAAGAACCCACTGGGTGACAGAGAACTTCCACAGGTCTGCTAGTACCTGAGGCTATCTAAAGAACAACATCTGATCTATAGTCACACAGCAAACAAGGAATTGCTGTCTAGAATACGGTGGTGTGGACAGCATGGGGCTGGTGACAATTAGGTAGGTATAGGTTAGGAATGGGGTAGATGGTTCCTGCTTCGTTGGGAAGCCTAGAGTTAACATTGCCATGTTCAAAGGGTCAAGAGGCCCTTGGAGTTAGAAGGGCGTAGTATTAAGGACTACATTAAACAAGCAGCAGGTGTGGAGGTGCCAGGGGCAAAAGTCACCAGAGAAGGCAGTAGGAGTCAAGTGATTGGGAAGACAAGACGGCAACAAGAGGGGTTGGGGATTTAGCTCAGTGGAAGAGCACTTGCCCGGCAAGTGCAAGAGTCTTCAGCTCTGGGAGAAAAAAACAAGGTGCAAAATACAAAAAAAAAAAAAAAAAAAAGGAAAGAGGGCAGCAAGGAGCTGATCACCAGGCCAAGTTAGGGTTACACACTTACACGCGGACACAAGTTGTGGGCCCACGAATAAGACAGTCCCAGAATATTCTCATCCACAGCTCCAACAAGCAGAAATTATAGGATGGGCACTTCCTCCGTCAGTGTGCATAATACACCTCTGTCAGTGGGCATCTAGCCCCTCTACTTGGTAGTTTAGTTCTGTTGTAGGAAAAAACGGTTAAATGTTTCCCTCTTTATTAAAGAGTACAGACAGCAGCATGAACCTGGAGGAGGGGATAACTAAAAGCTGGCTTCAGATCATTTAAGTTGGGAGCTTTAGGACAGTTCCTTCTCTTCTTAGTTGGTTTCACCAGAGGGGAACCTTCCAGCCCGGGATGAATTTCCCCACTCTTACCAGGAAGATTGTCTCTGACTACTGGTGAGAGCAATTGTCCTGGCCATTTCAGGAGATGTAGTTGGCTGCTTAGGATTCTTGGTGGGCAGAGGATTCCCCAAGGCAGAACCAGGTTTGTGACAAAAGTCAGGCCCAGGCAAAAAGAGCTGTTACGAGCGTAGAACAGAAAACCTGTACATCCTGCTTTTAAATTGTATTATTTCCTTTGTTTCAGGTTTTTGGGCTGAACTCAGTGCTTTCAGCTTTTATTGAACATCCTTCCTTGTGGCT